TCATTTGATCTCCCCGAAAGGGCTGGGGGATGCCCTGCACTCTGCTGGGAGAACTCTCAGCCCTAAAAAAAGAACAGGAGGACTTGTGGCATCTTAGAGACTAATAAATTTATCTGAGCATAAGCTTTCCTGAGCTACAGCTCACTTCATCGGATGCATTTAAAACCCTGCTGCAGAGATCTGAGCAGCCTTGGCTGTATGGAAAGCAGGTCAACTTTAGCTGGTTGGGGGCTTTGTTTGGGGGAGGAGGGGATCTCAGAAATCCCTTGTCCAAATGGCCCTGTGGGCCCCCCCCCCGAGGCACACAAACTGTCAAGGCTCCAAGTCAGTGGATGGATTTCAGAGCAGGCAGGAGATCGGTGCTTTAGGCAGAGAGCTGGCGCTTTGCTAGAATAAAATCTCTTCAGCTGCCCTCCAGTAAGATCCCGTCCTTCAGCGCCTCGTCCCCAGTGCTTGCTTGGGACCCCAAGTGAGGGTCAGCCCCAGACCTCCCCCACACGGCGGGCTGAGACACGCGGCGCTGCTGGGACGGCAGTTCAGAGGGGGCGTTAGGACACTTTGGCCCATCAGTTAAAAGACAAAGAAACGAAGTCTGCCCTGGGGACCAACGGAGACGTCTTCTCTCACTGCAGAGAAAAATCACTTCCCCTTCTGCCCCAAAACGATCCGCGCTCATGATTTGCTGCCCAGCAGCGGAGCTCTTGTCTCGGGAGGCAACTTCAGCTCCTGCAGGTTACCCGCCTATTTTGCCCCCCTTAACCCTCCTTCCATCTGGTCCGCGCACAGCCCCCTCCCCAATAGACCCCGCGCGACCCCCCCCCCCTCTGGTCAGCACACAGCCCCCACCCCAATAGACCCCGCCCACCCCTCCCCAATACCCCCACCTGATCAGAGCACAGCGCCCTTCCCCAATAGACCCCACCTGCCCTCCCATCTGGTCAGTGCACAGCCCACTCCCCAATAACCCCGCCCGAACCTCCTCCCCCATCTGGTCAGCGCACAGCCCCCTCCCCAATAGACCCGGGGTTCCCCAGTGTGATCGATGCACCCACCCAGGTCTTCTCCTCCCCCCCCAACCCGGCACCTCCCTGCTCGCCCTCTCCCCGATCCGTGCACAACACCAGCCCCTCCTCACCTGCTGGCGGAGACCCCCAGCCCCCAATCGCTCCGCAGGCAGCCGGCGCCTGGAGCCTGGCTCGAAGCTCGCCCAGGCTCATGTCCCCTGGAGCCAGAGCCCCCCCTGGGGAGCGGGCTCAGAGCGAACCCGGCTGGCAGGCAGAGGGAGCAGCGAGGGGACGGGCTGCCCCGCCGGGAGCCGCCAGGCTCGGGGAGAGGGTCCCGCGGCTGCAGCCCCGCTCAGCTGGGCAGGTCAGCAACACCGAAGGGAAACGCACCCAGCTGTCTGTCCCCGGGGAGCGGGCGAAGAGCAGAGGCTCCAGCCGGTCAGGATCCCGCAGCGCTCCCCGCTCTTGTGTCGCTGCCTCCCGGGCTTATGGCTCGGGCTGGGCGTGGGGTCCTCCTTAAATACGCCGCGCCGCGAGATCCGGGGACACCGACACGGAATTATCCATATGAGGCGCATCGGGGAGCGGGATGGAGAGCCGCCCCCCCCCCGATGCGGCTCAGTGCAGCGTAGCCAGCTGCTGGGGAGAGCGCCTGGCCTGAGGCTGCGGGGAAGTGGGCGAGTCTCCCGGGCCAGCAGCTCAGGGGCCGGACAGGAGGGTCCCCTGGCCCGCGGGCTGTAGTTTGACCACCCCCGCTATAGACAGTCGGCCAGTGACGTATGATACCATATTAGGCGCGTCTTCCAGACATGTGGGTGGGAGAGGCGGGGCTGTGTCCTCCTGCTGCTCCGCCCCTCCCCCTGTTCATAGACTATCAGGGTTGGAAGGGACCTCAGCCGGTCATCTTGTCCAACCCCCTGCTCAAAGCAAGACCAATCCCCACTTTTTGCCCCAGATCCCAAATGGCCCCCTCCAGGATTGAACTCTCAACCTTGGGTTTAGCAGGCCAATGCTCAAATCACTGAGCTATCCCTACCCCCCCAAAGCAGGTCCGCATCCCTGGGTGGGCTCGAACCACCAACCTTTCGGTTAACAGCCGAATGCGCTAACCGATTGCGCCACAGAGACTGGGCAGCCAGGCCCCAGGCAGGGAGCAAGTGGCCATAGCCAGCTGCTGGGGAGAGCCTGGCTGGGGAGGGGCGGCAGCAGCAGCCCGATCCCTGCCCGGGCTCAGCTTCCCGGCGAGCCGCAGCCCCTCCCCGGCAGGCCCTGTGTGCAGCAGCTGGCTGCGGAGGGGCGACAGCCCAGTCCCCCCACACTCGGCTTTCCGGGGCAGTGGAAGTACCTAAAAGTGTGTGTGCTGGGGGGGGAGACCACTGGAGCCCGAACCGGGGCCCTGCCCCCTGCCACCACCCTTTCCCCTGAGGCCCCGCCCCCTCGCTCCTCCCCACCCCCCCCACCTTACAATGTGGAAGTGGGAAGACAGGCGCTGGGGGGTGTCTCTCTCTCTCTCTCTCTCTCTCTCCAGCTTGCGGAGAGGCTCTGACCCGCCCCATCCCGTCCTCTCCCTCCCCCCAAGTTGCCTTTTGGCCCCTCCCCCAATACTAAAACAGACAAGTTCTTATAATAAAAAAAGGGACTAGGGCCCCCCCTTGAACTGCTGGGGGCCCCAAGCAATTGCTTAGGCTGAGTCTCTCTGTTTATACCCAGGGCTCTGAGTGTACGTAGCCCAGCCCGGCACATGTGCCTCAGTCTCCCCGTACCCTGCACCACCACCTCCAGCTGTTGAAACTGAACTCGCCTGGGCCTGGGCCTGGGCCCCCTGCCCCCCCCCCCCCAGAACTGTACACCCTTCTCTGCCCCGGCCCTGCTGGCTCCCCCTGGGGACGACACTACTCTTCCTGGTTCCACACCATGACCGCCAAAGGCTCACAAACCAGCAGATAAAAAACTCTGCATTTAGTATTTTAAGTCTCATGATTTTTAAGTGGGTCTCACGGTTTTGAGGCCTGACTCATTTTGAACTCTTGCGTTTATCAATACAGAAATTATCTAACCCCCTCTCTCTCTCCCTCTCTCTCTCTGTCACACACACACGCGTCACTTAGTCTTACACACCTGCTGTGGGCGCTGACTCCCTGGGCGCAGGAAGAGGGGGCGCGAGGGTGAGGCCTTGGGGGAAGGGGCAGAGTGGGGACGGGGCCATGGGACAAATCAAACTTCTCAGGAGCCTGTCTGTGCCCAATATAGTTTTAAGGGGCTCCTACCTCCCCTCTCCTGCCATGGCTCTTAAAACCAACTGAGAATCTGAACCATCTGCTGCCCAGGGCCCTGGGGTGAGCGGAGCTAATGCCAACCCCAGTATGGCCTGATACGGCCTGCACCCTATTTGTGAGACTAAGGGTGAGAATTTTCACCGGGAGTGGGCTCAAGACACTGCTGGGTAGCAGGCCCGGTACAGTCAACCAGAAATCCCCCCTATCATCACTGGGGTTGGGTCCAGGCGAGCAAGGAAAAGAGAGACGTCTGGTGCACCCCCCTCCTTGCATTGCAGGCTGACATACGCGGTGGAGTGTGAACTACCGCCCTGCACCGCCTCACATACTTGATTTGCCACGGCTTTCATGGGACGGTGGAGGTTGATGCTTCCCTAAACCCTCGGGATACAACTTTCCGACTCTCTTTTCCCCTCCCGCAGCCACTCACACGCTAAACCCCCTGAAAGTAGCAAACACTGAAAACCCATCGCAGGCAGCCTAGCTCCGGGCAAGCAGCAGGAATGGGACAGAAGGGCAGAAGCTCACGTGTTCTCCTCGCCCCTGGCAGAATGCCTTGTGCGGGCTGTACCTGGGGGGTGCAGGGGTGGAATGAGCCGGGGACGTGTGCCCGTTTGAGCGATTCATAGCAGGCAAACGAGGCACCTTTGGGGGAGCCTTGTCCAGGCCTGCCATGGGTCAGCTCTCTCAAACCACCACCCCTGGCAGCGCAGGCCTGACCTTCCAGCCCCCTGCAGGCCTCGCTCTCTGTGTACAGGTTAGCGATCGACACCCCCAAAGCCTCTGAGCGTCCCTCGGGAGTGCTCAGCCCGTTCCACTGAGCACATGCAGAACTGTGACTCTCTTCCCTCAGGCGCGGTCCACAGCAGCTTGTAAGATTCAATTCAGGCCAACCACTCTATTGAGAACCCAGCACTTAGATATACAGAAAACAGGAATGAGTTTATCATCAAAGAACAGAGATGCAAGCGAGAGTGAATAAATAAATACTGGAAAGTAATGGTTACATAGAAAACCAAATCCTCACACTTTCTAGAGCCGGGGTTCTCACAAATTTTTGGCAGCCTCAGCATGCGGCTCTGACAATACTTAACTAACTGTAGGAAAAACAAACAAATAAATTACATGTGCATATTTACATAGGGATTTTTTGCAGACTCAATAATAAATATAAGGTACAGTTGTGTCCTATCTTTACTGGACCTAAACACAGAACAAACCAGTGCTTTGCACAGTCTTGTCTTTTTTGTTGTTCTTTTGCTTTTTTGGTCAAAGGTGGACGGCTGTACAACAATTCTGAACTAAATTTAAAAATGCTTTACATAATAGAAAGAATAATGACTAATAATGAAAGAATGTATCTGCCAATATGTCCAAAATTTCTTTCACAGACAAAAAAACCCAATCAACCTAGCCCAGTAATAATAATGATAATAGCAACAACAAAATCTGAGCCATTGCTGTTGTCTTTTCAGCTTGGTTTTTGCATCATTTAACAGCTTGCGCCTCTGAAGCTCACCGTGGTAATTTGGTTCAACTTCCCTTGCACGAGTGCTGTAGGGATGTAGCATGACATACGTTTCAATTTGATGAATTTCTCTCTCACACTGCAACTTGCTCAGAAACGGAATCGGATAGCTTCAGAAACACAGGAAACTGCCTTTCCCCCTGGTGCTGAAGTGTTCCTTTTTCTTTCTCTGTTTTGCTTTTCTTAGCAGAAGGTCCCAGAGGAGCCACCTGCTGTCACATTCAAGGTCATTTTCTGGCACTAGATTATTTGAAATACTTTCTGATACCCAGTCACATTTTTAACTCTTTCACCTCCCCCCCATGAACAATCACAACCTACCCAAACACCACGCAGTGAGATGGCCCATAGCCACTTACAGAGCTACAGTAACATGAGATGTAACCACAGTGATTAGAGGTCTATAAAATCATGAGTGGTGCGGAGAAAGTGACTAAGGAAAAGCTATTTACTTGTTCCCATAACACAAGAACTAGGGGCCACCAAATGAAATTAATGGGCACCAGGTTTAAAACAAATAAAAGGAAGTTCTTCTTTACACAGCGCACAGCCAACCTGTGGAACTCCTTGCCTGAGGAGGTTGTGAAGGCTAGGACTATAACAGGGTTTAAAAGAGAACTGGATAAACTCATGGAAGTTAAGTCCATGAATGGCCATTAGCCAGGATGGGTAAGGAATGGTGTCCCTAGCCTCTGTTTGTCAGAGGGTGAAGATGGATGGCAGGAGAGAGATCACTTGATCATTGCTTGTTAGGTTCACTCCCTCTGGGGCACCTGGCGTTGGCTGCTGTCGGCAGACAGGATACTGCGCTGGATGGACCTTTGCTCTGACCCAGTCTGGCCCTTCTTATGTTCTTAGCCAAAGAATACACTTTGCGACTTCAAAGAAAACCACACCGATGTAGCTCAGCTCTGCTGGCATGGTACTATTTAAAAGGGAGCGCGCATTAGGATTTATGGCATTTAGAAGGCACCTTTATTACTTAACATCTCAGCGATTCTTGGGGCACTTTGGAGGCTCTTGTGGCTGCAAAACAATCAGCTGGTGGCTGCATTTGAGAAATGCTGTTCTGGAGTCTAAACGAACAAGGCCTTCCCTTCTCTCATTTCCCCAGCGTGTGGCTGAGACTCCTTCTCATGAGATCACTCCCTCTCAGCTGCAGAGAAAAGCTTGACAATGTGACCCTGAGTTTAAAGGTTCAAAAGCAGAAGGCACATACGAAGAATCCACAGTTTAAACGAGACACACTTAATGCTTGAGGGCCCCGCTGCCTGATTTTGAGATCCTGGCCAGGCTGACGAATGGGGACTTGGCTCGTTCAAGTAGGTGTGAGTTGGATCAGTGTCACTTCTAGGAGTCTCATTTCGAGCCCCCTTCCAGTGCAGTCTCTTTTCCCATCACATACACCTCAGGTTTGCTACAGATCCACCGTCTTTCCATGTAGCACCGTGAGCTGCTGACCCCTTTCTCGTTGTTAAGATACGCGCAGTCACCTCCTCCTCTTATCTGAAACCTGCAACACAGAAGCCAGGGAGCTGCAGTCAGGCAGAGGCCGGGCATTTCACACCAGTCCCAGCCAGGGGAGCCGTTCTCCACAGTGCAGGCCTGAGTGCGGAGCAGCTACTCTCCCAGCCCCTCAGGAGCAGAGCTCAGGACAGCGGGGGCTTTGCAGAACCGCTGACTGTTCGTGACCCTCTAGGCTGAGCAGCCCACAGGGGTGCTGGAGAATGGAAAGTCCCCAGCAGGACGGAGAGAATTTGTTAGACTGATTGTCAAAAGGGACCGGTCCTCTAACAAGAGGGGCAGACCAGAACCAGACGACCAAGCAGGAAAAGCGGGGGGCAGGAGGGATCTCACTTCCTTGAAACACACGGAGCAGAACCAAGATGACACTGAAAGAGGAAATTGCATTCAGGGGTTTCCTTTTCCATTGATCTATAACTCTTGAGCTTTCCATTGGGGATGGGGGAAAAAGAGAGTGTTGAAGAAGTTCCTTTGTGAAAGCATGTGTGCCTTGTTTGTAATCCTCACGTGACCCTCCCAGAGTTCATCTGGAGTGGAGGGTGGAGCTCTAGGGACAACATGCCTCTCGGGAGGTTTGGGAGGGTTCAGACCTGGTTTTGGGTCCTACAGCAGCTGATCTGCAGGGTCCCACCTCCTAAGGAGGGAACCAGACAGGGAGTCTGTACCCCAGGAGAGGGCCATAGAGGCCCAAACTTGGGACAGTGTCTGGAGGCTATTCAGACCCAGGGGGCTCCCCCCCCCCTGATACTTATGCCTAATTTTTAAAAAATTATTGAACTGAGTTATTTTAACTCAGATTAAAAAGTGAAACACTGAAATCAAGTTCTGAAAAACACAAGTGAGGCTCCATGATGCAATCAAAAATCACGCTGCCTCCTACCCCCAGGGCTCTCGCTGGAGTATTTGACTGAGGCCAAACAGGCAGTCAATTGACCGGCTTGCCAAGGCTACTGGGACCCCCAGCTGGGGCTGGTCCACGGCAATCAGACACAGGGGGACGGAGGCGTTTGTCACAGTAAATTTGCCTGGCAAGAAGGATTCCAGGGACACTCCCAGCCTGGGAGGGACTGACACAGCTCAGAGCATTTCATCCCAGGCACAAGATCAACAGCTGGACCTTCAACCTCGCAACAAACAGCAGGTGAACAACTGAGAAGAACGTGGGAACTTTCACAAAGGGACATGAAAGCCACAAGGGGGCGCCAGAAACCACAGCCACGGGAAGTGACCTGTTGCACTGTGGGCCAGGAATGATGGAACTTAATTCACCTCCTACCTGCAGACTTTTCTCTCCCCAAACACAGCAGCAAGAAAGGCACTTTCTGGAAGCCCTCACGGCAGTGTAACCCTTTCAGAGCCATGAAAGGGCAGCAGTGGGGTCACCCATAAGTGACACCAAAGAGGATTTGAAAGGCCTGTCTAGTTGAGAGGAGTCGGACTCAAAACCCTCCAGACGTTTTTGAGCACGTCACTTTTGTTTGCACCACAGTAACTCGGTAGCTGGTTTTTAAGCCTTCCCATGTGGCTGGCGCTCAGCGAGGAACAGACACTCTAAGTCGGGAAGAGTTAGGAAACGTGGCAGCGGTGATCAGAAAACGAGCATGTGTTCACCTCACGCACAAGGCATGTCTGACCCTGTAGATTTCACTGTGCAGTGCACGGTCGCCCACACCCCTGCCCTACTGAACTGAGCGGAGAAGTCAGTGACTAACAGTTGATGGCACAGGCTGTCTCCACCATCCATCTCCAGGTCAGATTCAAACATGTTCTGCAGAGCTCCCTGCACCTGCAGGTGTGTAACCAACCCTAAGCTCACAGATTCCCACCTTACACAGCGAGAGCCAATGCTGCTGTGACGATGTGACTCAGCAGGGAGGGGGGAGTGTTGACCTGGGAATGTGCCCTGGGGATGGGAGACCTGAGAGCCTGTCACCTGAGCCAGGAGGGGGAGGGGGAGGTGACACCTCTGCCCAGGAATGTGAACAGAGGCTGCAGCAGGGAACCTGCGGGGTGAGTTTAGTTGGCAGTTTGGAGGCTGGGGGGAGGAACACAGGGAACCCCAGGGCTGGGGTCTAAGCTCCCTGCTCCCCCAGAAGGACGTGATTGAGGGGTCCTGGTTGTACCCACAAGCTCTGTTGTGGACTGTGTTCCTGTTGTCCAATAAACCTTCTGTTTTACTGGCTGGCTGAGAGTCTCAGTGGATCCCAGGAAGAGGGGTGCAGGGCCTGGACTCCCCCACACTCCGTGACAACTGGTGGCAGCGGTGGGA